TAGTAGGGTTTTGCTTCATCTCTATCAGAATTAGAGAGGATTTTTCTGTGACCAAAATTAAGGCTTATGTTAAAAATCCTAATATCCACAAAAAGGTCAGATTAATATGTATTTTCTGCATCTATCCAATTTGAAGTGTGTGAAAAATTCAATCACAGTTAGTATACAACTGTCACAACCACAAAACTACATTTTACTTTTTGCAAAAACAACTTCAGCATTTGCTGGATTGAAGAAAGATCAGATGGTAAAATTCAGACACCAAATCATACTGTGGATAAGAAAACACAGTACTTCAATGTGTGAGAATAATTTTTGTATTTTTGGAGACATATATCAAATCTTCAAGCACAGAATAGGCTGTGTATTTGCACAAGATATAACAACTGAAGATGAAAAGAATTTTTTTTTTTAATTCTATGGTCATCCTAGTTTTCATATGCAGAGTTCACTGCCACAGGGAAATGTGAAATAGTTCAGAAAAAGCCAAAAAATATCCCACGTACATAAATATGAAAAAGCATAACATACAGAACTATAACAACCGAGAACTTCCAAAATATTAGTCCTCATTTTGAGAGATATTAACTGGTATTTCATAATCAGAAAAAGAGTATAGAGAGCACCGTATGAAGAGACACGTCTACTGACAGTAGCCTGTTTAGCCTCTGGTTGAAGGTGAAGCCTGAAGACCTTGGTGCACAAAATTACAGCCTACAGAGATGGGCAGTATGTCTTGGCATGGTATGCCTTGGTGTGACATTATTCCTTTATGTTTCTTACCTTCACCACTTTCCATGCCTTCTACAAAAATACCACCACACTGGGGCAGAATCCAGTATCGGCGCCTGTAACGATCTTGACCAAACATCATTGAACGCAAACAGTGTGAAGCTTCAAATAACTTCTTTCTGTACTGGCTTTGTTGCTGTTTTAGAAAAGAGAAAGCATTATAATTCAACAGGGGGGAAACAAAATCATTGTAACGGAAAACATCTCCTGACTGCCAGACTGAACGGAAGTTCAAGGGTCACGTGAGGAGGCTCTCTTAGAGATTCTGGCTGTATGTTACGTGATATTCTACTCACAATTGCTGCCTTGATGATTTTACTCACAGAGATCCCTTTAAAATATCAAGTCATCACTTCCTGGTTCAGCTTAAGTTTATCAGTCTTCCTTTAAAAACACATTTTGTGATGGTAGGTCCTGTCTTTTTAACACTGACTCTCAGAGAACAACAAGATCAAATACTTCATTGCACAAGAACAGCTGAAATCCTACCAATTATAAAGTAACAGCAAATGGTAAACAAAGCACTGAAGATAGCTGATACTGCAGCTCCTGATGGGAAACTAATGAGATATTTTAACTGGTTCATAAAAGAATGAGAACAATAATGTCTGAAAATAAATTCTGTATTAAAACACAAACAGTTCTCTGAGGGGGGCGGGGCAACAAGAATTTCAGCTCGTTTATTCAATTCTTGCTCTACTAAATTGACACCGCTGGAAGTCGGGCGTAATTCTGGACTGCTAATTTATTGCAATTTGGAACATGGGAGAAACCAAGAGACAAAGTCTTAAATGACTAATTCTCTAATACAAAGAATAAAAACATGGGCCACGAGTAACCCCTATCTACAGCATTCTATCTTTCTCATTTATGTTTCTCTTCCTATTCCATTGTTTCTTCTTTTAAAATCTGAAGCAAAGGCAGCTCTCTGTATTGGCTTGGAACGCAGTTGCAGAAATTAGCCAGCTGTAGGAGGAAATGAGCACTGGAAAAGTCATTGCTTCTCATACACAAAATTTGTCATTGCCCTCTAAGATCAACAAACAGAAATATATCAATTAGGGCTGGATAAAAATTACATTACTTTTTATTCTGAGATGTGCAAATATATTATCCACAGCTTTCTAACTGTCTTTTGAGTCATATCCACTTAGTGCCGCTAGGCTAAAATCGCAATTCCGGTGTCATGAACGGTAGCATCATTTGTATTTTCATAAAACAAAAGCTGATCCTTATTTCAATTTATATTAAGTTGGAGCACTGAAAATGATGGTTAACATTCCAACTCACGACATCCAGTGATGAAATTTGTAATATACCAAAGACAAATGACCTCTCACCTTTGTCAGTTTTTCAATCTGCTTCTCTAGTTCTTCAACACTTGCTGTCTGGTCCCCATCATCCTGTAATCACCAAATATACTGTCACGCCAAATTTATTTCAGGATGAAATCATACTACCTTGTCTTACTAATATTACAGTAAAAAGATATCAACAGAAAATAAGAGGCAAATTCTAATGGTAAAAAAGTTCAAATTTTGTGCTTCTTCCAATATACTTGACTAGGAACAACATAACTGGAAAAAGATGTATCTTGAATCTTTCCAAACCATCCCAGATGCATGCAAAAGAGAAAGTTCATGGCTAAATGTTCACTGCAAACATTCTTTTACTGGAAGAAACAATTCAGTTTGCGAATGAACACTTAAGACTACACAATTTAATCTTTGTTTCTATGAAGCTTTTTGCATATTCAAATTAATTTCTAAGTGTTTTTCATACATGAAATAATGGAATCTGTCAAAATCTTACCAATCAGGCTTTGGTCAGTACACACTTGCATTTTATTTCAATGTCTACAAGAAATTGTAGAGCCACTTTAAATTACAAGTCTGTTATAAAAGTTCCCTATTAATCTTGCTGATTTTTGAAAAGGAATGCACCCATGATTAAGTCTATGGTTCCCTTCTTCTTGACACAGTTTAAAAATGAGAGTCATTTCCATAAAGACAGTTTTAATTAAGTTCAAGAAAGTCTTTGGGGATAACAGTAAGTTTCCAAAAGAATACAACCCAAACCCTAGGAGCTCGCAATCACCTGCACCGTAAGATACTGGTCTTGTATTTCTTGGCTTTGTAAAAGTGTACCAGAGTGAAGCCTTCTGAAATACCACATATAGCATGAATGCAATGGAACTTCTGTTATATCAGAAAATTAATTTCTCTACAGGAGTTGCAGGACTTTTGTCTATGAAATGCCCAGTGCACCAAAATAGGCAATTATACTAAAGGGAAAAAGATTGATGGATGGATGTGAGGTTAGATTAATACTCAGAATTTAAGGTAAGGACTTCATGATATGCCTCTAAGGTATTCCCTTAAATTCATACACATTATAGTACTTGAAATAAATCCAGAATAATAGCACAAAGGGCTGTTCCTACCCTAGAAACTAGCTGGGTTTCTAATGAAGAGTGTTTGGAAAGATTTGAGTTCACATATGTTGTATACATGCATTGTTCATGCAGCCATATCCACAGCACCCATAAAACCTTACTTGGAACTTCGATAACCTTGCATAAATGGATCATTTCCTGGCAAACAGCGCAACACCCAGTGCACTAAAACGTAGTATTTGGTATTGCTTGTCTCTTATCAGGTTTCATCCAGCAGGGAATTTTAGAGTTCTATAGTGAATCTTACAGGCCTGTGGCACTTCTATTAAAAAATTCTGTTGACTATTGTAGATATAACTGAGCTCAACAAACTAAAAATGCTTGAGTGACCCTTCCTGTATCCTATCTGATATTGACTAGCAAATCTTGTGATCAAATACGGTTGGGCAGTGACTACCCTAGAAAAGTTATGGAAAAAAAAAATACACAGGAAGGTCACAGGCAAGCTTTATAATAGATAATGTTAAATATGACTTTACACTTTATTATTTTGTTAACTAATAAATGACCTTTATTCTCCTCTAAGAAAAAACTACAGTTATGCTCATTTGCTAACAAAGGTGCAGTTCTCTGGATTTGAAACAATCTTTCAGAATTTCAGAGAAATTAAGACTAAGTCAAAACAAGTAAGCAGGAAAAAAAACCCCAAACCCAAACGAAACCAAACAAACAAAAAAAAAAAAAACCCACCCCACCAATCCACACTATAACAGCTATCAAAAAAAGAAAAAAAATACTTCAGAAAAAAAACTTATTCCAAAAATTTTAAACTATTGGAGGTAACTTATTCTTCCTTCCTTTTTATTGTGAGATTTTGGGGAAGTAGTGCCATATTGCAGAGGAACAGAAGGAAGAGAAGTTTTAACTTATTAGTTAAGTTTCACTATACTTAAAATCCCCCACCTCATCCTCACAAACTTCCGCCTTCTTTCCTTTTTTATCTTCTTTGTCCTCTTCATCCTCATCATCCTCATCTGCTTGATCATCACTGTCATCATCGTCATCATCATCATAATCACTCTCCCCACCCTTTCGTCTGCGTTTGCGGCCTGGTGTTGGTGTTTCCAAAGAGTGCTGTTCCTCTCCTCCATCACCACCTCCTGTAGCATCTCTTTTGCCAGTTTTCTTGGCATGGATGATTCTAAGCCTTGAAACACATGACAAGGGGTGAAATTATAGAGTATGTCTGTAGCATAAACATACCCTTCTTCGTATGTGATTAAAAGTAAATCATACATTTTAGATTTAAATTAGCTCTTCTGTTCTAACACAACACTGTATTTTCTCAATATTTATTGCCATTAGTCAACAAGAAAAATCCAGGTTATAAACCCCCTTATGCTTCTTATTCAGTTCCTGAATAGAATTTCTGTTTCTCCCAGGTGAATTGCATTGTGTAACTGTTTAGAAGACACAAAACACAAAAGGCATTTTGAAAAGTCAGGAAAGACAATTAGAAGAAAGAACCATTGCGACTTCTTTATCTTTTGTTTTATGCATTTAAGAATATGATCATAAAATATCTGTGTCTGAGGGGGCAAAAAAAAGGTAAAAATCCTCAGTTGGAAGTATGAAACTATTTACATTTGAATGGCAACAGCAAGATTGGTTTAATTTTTTTTTCTTTTTTTTCATTTCAGACTTTTATGCTTTTTTAATTTATTATATATTGTTTGACTTCAGTCCTTTGGCTGATCTTTTTATTCTACGACATACTTTCCTTTCTGAGAAATCTTAGTTACCTAAACTACTAGGAAATTACTCAATCAAACTCTCATTTTTCCTTTTATGAAAGAAAAGGGAAACTTACATACCAGTAATTATGGTTGTAGTAGACCTTCTTCTTCTATAAAACCCCTATAAGACAAGATTCCACACAGCAAAAATTATAGTTCCACCTATCAGGGAGCTAGCAGGCAAACATGCTGAATCACAGGAGGTATAAATAGCCAGGCCTAACCAGTCACTTATAATGCAGACCAAAAATGCAACTGACTTAGAAGAGATTTATAAACATGTGCAGAAAAGACAAAGATTTTTGTAAGGGATGATTGGAAGAAGGTAGGATGGGAAAAGTAGAACGGTAACGACAAACATAATTACCGGTACGTAATTTTTCCTTGTCGTACTTCTCTCTCTTCCCATCCTACAAAACAATATTCCATACAGCAAGTGGCTACAAGTATGATGAATGTTGTAGAAGTACGAGCTTGTGGGCATACTGACAAATATATCAGCCTTCTAAAATGCTGATAAACAAAGCCAGTACTCAACAGCACAGATTTAAATGAAGGCGTCACTGCTCAATTGGTAGCAGCACTTTTTAAAAAGGCCGTTTGCAAGAAATCATCAAGGGGACTTCTGTTTCCTTAAAAACAGTTGGGCTTTGGGTTTTTTTGTGGGTTGGGGGGGGGTGGGGGGGTGGGTGTCTTTTGGGGAGGTGGTGTTGGCTTTTTTAATGCAGTGGGAAATCCACTGGAGAATTTAGAAAGTTTTACACTTCTATTTTTCCAATACAAATGGATTTTTAGCCATTTTAGCAATTTAAAATATTTTTTGATAAAAAAGATTTCTCAAGCCTTCCAGTGACTTGGAAGCAAGTAATATTTTCAGCTCTGGTGTGAAAAGCCTTAGTCTCACTGAGTATCAATACTACTCAGGCTTCCACTGAGTTAAGTTTTTTAGAAAAAAAAATTCCTTTTTACAAGGATAACTTCAAACCATCAAATCCTCTTCATCTGGACTGGAAATTCCTGCCTATACACAGGAATTAATTACCAAACAACACCACTAGTCAATGATTGGATTGACTGCTGCGTGACTGGACAATTTTAGAAACAAATTAGACTAAGATAATCTTGAAGACAATTCAATAATAAAGCTGGCAGGTGGAAGTTCAAGGACCAGCAAACACCTCTTTCATATACCTAAAAGAAATGACAAGAAGCAAAAAAGGCTACTTTTGCTGAAAGTAACAATAGAGGTATAATGCTGTCAAGCACTAAAGGAAGCCTGCATGACACTACAAATGATAAGGATGGAAATGAATCAAAGATGCTCTCTCTTAATAGCACCATAAGCGTAAGAAGGCAGTAGTCTGTATCTGAAGTAGCACAGAGGCAGAAACCAATGAGAGCATAACTTAAAAAACGTTCAAGTATTTCAAGAGCATAATTTTCCTGCTGCTACCTAGACATATGACATATGGCTCACTGAGAGAAGAAAACCTTCACTCAGAAAACTGTTTCATCTTTCGCACTTTCAGGTATACACCAAAACAACATCTCCAACTGTTGAGAGAATTATAAAGTCTATTCGCCTATAAAAAGAGTGGGTGGCCCATGAGATAATCAGATGTGTGATTTAAGCCTGCTCTAATCTAATCTGTAATGTTTACTAGATCACAGAAGGAAAATTCACCTTTTGACTTAATTTTCCTCTAATTTTTGCACGTAACCATTGAGTAGTAGCAAGGCATTGCACTTTTAACACACTTCAGCTTGGGTCTCAAAACACAAAAGTTTCCCAAATCAGCATTCCCACCTCCTACTCAAACTCAAGGTGTAATTTCTCCCTTCATGTAACACTGCTTTTGATATACCATCATCATTTACAGTTGAGATGGCCTCACTGTAAAGAAATTAACTTACAAGGAGTATGCCATAATACCGGCATGTTAAAAAGAACGTTGTTGCAATGAAAAAAACTTGTTCTGCAGTATTTCAAGTCTTGTAAGGAAACAGATAGTACCTAATCCTTCAAGTAGCTACATTTCATTTTTATTCCCATTTATATTGATCAAGCTACAAGAGAGATGCCAAGGAGAAGACATGTAATGGAAAAGGAGATGCTGAGATTATGATTATCTAGTTAAAAAATAGCTGAATCCTCTCAGGTAAGACAGTCTTCTGACTATAGTTGCAATACAGAAAGCACAAAGAAAGGTGACTTGATGCTAAGAGACAGGCGCCTTTACAAAAACGGTGATTAGTATCAAGATTCACATCTAAATGTGATAAAGGAGGAATTAGATGCAACCTCTCACTGACCGTCAGCCCAGCAGAAACAGTCCAGGCAGCTCAGAATTCAGTTTCCAACCATATATATTATACTTATCAAGGAATTGTTCTATATCTGGGGCGGGGGGGGGGCACATCCCTATAGGCTTTTATACAATGGTTCCTTTTTCCAACCTGGGATTTTAATGTTGCTTTTTTGTATCTTACAAACACATGGAGGGGGGGCGGCGCTGATATCCAGTTGAAGAGCTAATCTCATAAAAAGTGAGAACATAAGAACAAAAAAAATCACTTAGTGAAAACATCTGATACAGGTAGAATCTTTCTCATCCCACTTGGATATACTTCAAGACAGTCTGGACACAGTGGTATGAAGATTTACCACAACAAACACTGGCAAAACAGGCTGAGATGAAACAAACCCATTCCTCAGTATCCATTATTCTACCACTATACGCTTCTCATGCATGATGGGCTTGTGTTGAGGGTCATGTAAAGGTCTGTATGCGTAAGAGTACACATCTGTTGATCATATGGCAAGTAGTCAAGAAACCAGATATTCCTATGCAAAGCTGTTCGGGACTGGGATGCTTAAAAACTAAACTGGGCTTTGAAATGGATGGGGAAGATAACATGCATAAGTATGAAGTCTGGAAGCAGAAAAAAAGACCAAACAGAAGACTGAAATGGAGAGATTTCTTTTCAGAGAAGCCCCAGAATAGTTCTAAGAGTTTATGAAAAACACCAACTGACATAATAAAGAAGAAAACATTGTTTAAAATTGATCGAAGAAGGCTCTTCTAAAAAGCATCTTAAATTTTATCAGAAAAACAGTGGAAAATCCAAAGATTTTGAACCGAAGATGGATGAGAGGGATCAATCAAGTCCAGTAAATTCAAAGAAGCAGGACAACATTTCTGAGCACTCCCGTGATACTTACGCTCAAAAATAGGGACAGCACTACTGGAACCTGAAATCCACATGTGAGGGGAGAACACGAGAAATAGAGAAATGATTGTAGAAAGGAAGAGGGGCTTGGGACTTCAGGGTATTATGCCCACTATTTGAAAGGGAAGAAAAGAGAGCTCATTAGGAAAAGGGAGGATCCTACATCTACAAGTACTTACAGTTTGATGGAGGGAGAGAAAGACTAAACAGTCCCTAAGGAGACAAGGACAGGTAAGGGTCTCATTCCACGAATGGACAGTTGGCTACATCAGAACTTCAGAAACACTTTTGAAACTATATCCCATATAAGGGATACAGATGAAGACAGGAAAAGGTATGTGGATTGTCCTAAAAGATAAAATATATTAACCCTGTGCAGACTGGGATATGCAGTATTAATAGAGAATTTCTTATTATTGGTCTAATTTTTTCCTCTACCTCCCTCTTGTCCTTCTTCTTTACTTCTTTCCTTCTTCCTTCTGAGATACATTAAAGGGAAAAAAGGGAGACATAAGATTAGAAAAACAAGTACCTAAAGCAAGGACTAAGAAAGGATTCACTGTTCCTAGTAAGAGGTAAAGATGACTAAGAAAAAAAAGAAAGTAGAGCCTGGCTATGTATTTTTACCCCCTGTGATTCATGAACTTTATGCCTTCTAGCTTCCTGGTAGTTGGAGCCATTATGCTTGCTGTATGGAATTTTGTCTTGTAGAATGGGAGAACAGTGGGTATGAAACTGACAACCCTTAAAAAGTTCCAATTTTACCTTAAATAAAAATACAAAAATTATCTCCAAGTTTGCATTCTACATATGATCCCTAGCTATAGGGAACAACGCAACATTGACAGATGGGAAACACTAAGATAACATAATATGAATTAGCAAAATTCAATTGGTAATTGTTGTATGAAAACCGTATCTTCTTAAAATGCCTTTCAGAATGAACATTGCTAATTATGGTAGGTCCAAATAAACTTTGATAATGTCAATAGCGATTTGACAGCTCCTGTAGACATTCCCATAAAAAAATTTTTACTTTCTTCCAAAGAATACAAAATGGACTTCACTTTGCTCCACTTTTGAGGGACACTAACCATCCAAATCTGATGCATCTTTAAAAGATTGTAAAAGGCTAGTGCTTCGCCCTTCTAAATCCACATCCATCTTAATTAAGCAGTTCAGTTACTAACTTCTTGGTAAACCTGTAATTGCATCAGTTAATTTTGACCTTAGAACCAATTGCCTATATAGCAGCAGATCTGAGCAAACGCGAAAAAGCAATATATTGTAACATTTGCGGAAACAAAACTTACTTCCGAAGTTTGCCTTCAACCATCCATTTATCTCTCCTTAAGTTTGACATATAATCAATGTTTTTATCAATTTCGCTGTCAAAGACAAAATAATCCATTAATTGTGAACTTACATATCTTCTTCTGACAGACATTTATGTACAGATACTTTGTCTCAAAGAACTATCTTGGAGAAATGTTTAAAATTCAAAATAATTTTAAAGCTAGGAAATTCCAATCCTAGGAATGCTGATGTAGCGTGCTGATGCACCTATGTCAGGCAGTCTTTATTTACAGTATCACCTAAGCTTTCTTTCCACAGCATGTCATGACATGAAGCATGTCATTCAAAGAATTTGACAATTCTTTCCATAGTTCTAAATCAATGTCAAGCCTCCAGATGTATTTGCCACAAAGCATCTAGCCCTGCACTGAAAACAAAGTTATCACTGCTACATCTACGGTATTCTAACTAGGATCCATGTGACCTACAAACTAATGTTCGCTTTTCACTGCAGAAACTGAAAAAATCAAGAAAAGTGCTTCAGTACAGTGACAGTCTGTGAGCCCACTTCTGAGACATCCCAGCATCAACAACTTCATAGAATCATAGAATTGTTTAGGTTGGAAAAGACCTTTAAGATCATCCAGTCCAACCATTAACCTACACTACCAAGCCCATCACTAGACCAGTCAAGGGTAGAGTAATAATTCCATGTTTCCTGGCTTGCTGGCTGCATTATTTTTTAATGAAAGTAGAAAGTAGGAATCATTAAGGTTGGAAAGGATCTCGAAGATCATCAGTCCAACCATCAACCCAACACCACCATGCCCACTAAACCAGGTCCCAAAGTTGCACATCAACCCGTGTTTTGAACACTTCCAAGGATGGTGACTCCACCACCTCTCTGGGCAGCCTGTTGCAATGCTCGAGTACCCTTTGCGTGAAGAAGTTTTTCCTAATATCCAACCTAAACCTCCCCTGGCGCAGCTTGAGCCCATTTCCTCTCATCCTATCGCTGGTTCCTTGGGAGCAGAGCCCAACACCCCCTCCCTGCCCCCTCCTGTCAGGAGCTGCAGATCGATCAGGTCTCCCCTCAACCTCCTCTTCTCCAGGCTGAACACCCCCAGCTCCCTCAGCCGCTCCCCACCAGCCCTGTGCTCCACACCCTGCCCCAGCTCCGCTGCCCTTCTCTGGACACGCTCCAGCACCTCAATGTCTTTCTTGGATTGAGGGGCCCAAAACTGGACACAGCATTCCAGGTGCGGCCTCACCAGCGCCGAGCACAGTGGCACAATCACCTCCCTGCCCCGACTGGCCACACTATTCCTGACACAAGCCAGGATGCTGTTGGCCACCTTGGCCACCTGGGCACACTGCTGGCTCATGTTCAGCCGGCTGTCTACCAACACCCCCAGGTCCTTTTCCGCCAGGCAGCTTTCCAGCCACTCTTCCCCAAGCCTGTAGCGTTGCATGGCCCTAGTTAAAACATTTGGACAAAAGAGGACTTAAAAAACAAAAGGAAAAAAGGGAAAACAGAAGCCTTACACAACTCTCCTAAATTATTCCCTAGAATACCTAGTAAATTTCTTTGTAATCAACCTTTTATTCTGAAAATAGCTGGAGAAATTTTGGTGCAAGCTTTGAAAACAAGCTTACAGACCAAACATGGAAAAATTCTACTCTTCTATCATATCAGAAGTACATAAAGGTAAAAAGCAGTAACATAGCAAATTTCAGCTTTCATTATAAGAACACCAAGAATCCTCCTGTAACAGAACACAGTGTGTACAGTATTTCTGAACTATAACATTTTTGTAATTTTATTTTTACAGACCTGTTTGGAAAAATCTTACCTTACTACACTTTTGCTGCATGCTAACTCATTGACAAGAAAAGCAAGTACTGATGCTTTCTGAGCTGGAGTATGTGCCTGAAAAGCTTTTGTCTTCAAGCTCTCTGTCAGCTCAGTTTGCCCACAGTGAGCCTCCATGAATATCTGCAGAATCTCAGACACATTATCTCGATTGATACCAACATTCAGTAAGTGTTCCCCAAGAATAGTTTTAGCCTAAAAAGAATAAAGACATTTCAAATAGTCACATTGAAAAATACTATTTTCATCTGCAAGCTATATTCTTGTTTATAAAATAGTGTGGTGGGTTTGTTTGCATTTTTACATAAGGACTTTAATCAGGATTTTTCTTTAAAACTATTCAAATGTACATCTTGAACAGAGTATCCAATCAGAATGTCTTCACCTCTAAGTTGTTAAGAGCAGAGATAATATTACTATGAAATAGGTTAAATGAAAAAAGACATGGTACAACTGGAACTTGATGAATACTGTTTTGTACAATCATGCTATGTAGAATTCTAGAGTAGAAAAGAGCTAATTGGCTTGAAAAAGAAGGATAATAAGAAAGAGAATCATGAATGAATCGGAGTTTTGATGAAGTGACGTAGAGAGCAGACTTTGGAGAAAGAAATGGCAAGATTCACGGACAGTATAACATCAGGTTAAGAACAGAAGTGGGGGGAAAAAGGAGTTAAAACACGTGGCCACAGATGTGATAGTGCCCTACAAGAGGTCCAAATAAAAATGGTGGAGGGTAGAGAAAATGCCCAGGTACATATCACTTCCGGAAAACGGGAAGGCTGACAGGGCACAGAAAGTCTTTGAGTAACATTAGAACAGTGACACCAAAGAGAAGAATTAGGAAAGAGAATGGAAATCCAAATCAGAGAGGTGTCAAAGATGCATTATGAAGATTACATTCATAAATATAGAGTGTTCGCTATGGATTTTTTTTTTCCTTTTTTTTTTTTTTACCTTGTATCCTGTAACAAGTCCTGGATCACAAACAGCTGCAGAGACAAGCTTTACAAGCAAGTCTTGTACTTCTCCCATGCTGTCCCCTATGTTTAGCAAACCCTCCTGAAGAACGCTCAGGGAAGGGACATCCACATTCACATCAAAGCCAAGAACTTTACCAAAGTTACGCAGGAACTGCACTACCATGAGACAATCTGAAAATGTGCTTCCATCGAGAACAAGGCCTGGGATGCGAGGCAACTCTGGCAAAGGCTGAAAAGTAAAGAAAAACAATGAAAGATTCTGTACTATATTTCATAAGAAAACTTTCTGGATACAAGCTAGGGAATTTGGCTGATACTTCCATATGACCCACAGCATGACAATGCTAGAAGGTAAAGGCCACAGAGAAGCTACCCCACTCCATCCCATCCAGTAAATATAATTTAAAGCTGAAACACATTTACCTTTTCAAATATTATAGGGGGCAAGAGATTAATAAATACTTACTTTTTGGCCAGGAGACGCTCTCAGGCTCTGTTCTAAGCCAAAATACTATAAAAGGTAGTGTAAAAATATTTGGGGGACATAGGGAGGGGAATTCTCTGGAGCAGATAGGGCTTGAACCTGAGGTATGTCAAGTCCTGAAGGACAAGAACTGAGGACACAGAAGACTGGGAGAGCAATTTTTTTGAGTAACAGCTTCTAACAGTTGCACATACGAGAAAACCTCTATCTAGTGCCTGTGTACTGAGACTTGATGCATATTCCTGCT